ATAATGCATTGCCTAAAATTAAAAACAAAATGACAAACTCAAATACCTTTATTATTGAGGACATCACAATCATCAGGAATTATATTTAAAGCTTTATCGTAAAACTAAATAGCCTCCAAAAGCGAGACAATTTATATAGTTATAATCATTAAATAAGTACCAATAAGGCTAAGCCTAAAATTAAAGAAAACTCAATTACTTTTGTTATTGAGCAGATCAAAACTATTAGGATTGATGTGCAAAGCTTTATCATAGAATTCAATAGCTTCTTCCAAATGATTCAAATTAATTAATGCATTGTCTAAAATAAATAATAAAATAAAAAACTTTTTTACCTTTGCATTTGAGGAAATTATAATTAATGGAATCGATGTTTAAAGCTTAGTCAAAAAAGTAAACAGCTTCCTCAAAATGATTCATTTTATATAATGCTTAGCCTAAAATTAAAAATAATGAAAAAAATCCTTAACCTTTGTTATATAGAGCTGCAAAATCATTAGGATTTATGATTCAAATCATATATTTTAAAATCATTCAAATAATTTATCAATAATATTAAGCCTAAAATATAAAAAAATGAATAATCCACATACCTTTTCTATTCAGTGCATCACAATCTTTAGGATTGATGTTTAAAACCTAATCAAATATTTAAATGACTTCTTCAAGCCGAGACAATTTGCTTAATGCAAAACGTATTTTTAAAATTAAAGTGAAAACTCATTTACCTTTTTCTTTAAGAGTTACACAATCTTCCGGATTGATGTTTAAAAATGACTTCTTCAAATCGACATAACCTGCCTAATGCAATACCTATAATTAAAATGAAAAATGAAAGGGTATTTACCTTTGTTTTTGAGGGCATCAATATCTTTAGGATTGACGATTATAGCTTTATCATAAAATACAATAGCTTCCTCAAAACGATTTAAATTGTATAATGCATCTTTAAAAATAAAAAATTAAAAACTCATTTACATCTTGTTCACATTTTAACTTCAAATTTAATTCCTATAACAAACTAGAAATATTGCTACTATTCAATTAGGTATTTCTAAAAAAGCATCAAGATAAATTTACATTTTACAAGAAATTATAAATATTTTATGTATCTTTGATATATTTTCCTTATATTTCAAACTGATATTTAATGAAATAATTTTTGATTGAATTATTTAATAACTTAAACAATAAATTGTATTTTTATATTAGACAAATAATATTAATGATATGATTAAATAGAATAATGTAAGAAATTGTTTAAAAAGTCCTTTTATTTATATTATCAAATATTATATAATTGACTTTAACTTAGATTTAATAGAATAAAATATAATATCAATAGTGACTAGAATTAAAATTTTATTTAAATTTTAATTTCCCATAGAACGACTATTTATTTTCTTATAATCATAAATTTTAAAGTAAATTTACTAAAGATGAATAATAATATTAAATGCTCCTAGCACAATTTAATAATATTAAAGGAAGCCTAATTGAGATATATATTAATAATATAAATAATTAATTTCTCCAATATTTCAGTAAATTTGAAGATACTAAATTTATAAGATATAAAAATGGAAAAAATAGTGATAAATAATATATGAAATTTCTAGAGAACATCTAAATAAAGCATTAAATTATAATGAAAAAAACTAAAGATTACAAGATGATCTTTACATCTATCTGATTGAAGCAATAAAATAATATCTTATTTAAGAAAAGATAAATTTTAATTTGATTTAAATTAATTTTTTGGCTCAAAAAACATAATATTTAATGCAAATATGTGTGTGTATCAAAATAATCATATTAAAAAATAATTTATTTTGTTTGAATATCTTAATCTGTCTTTAAAAATTAATGAAAAAAAGCATTTTGTATTATTAATATTTTAATTCTTTAAAAAAACGAAATCATTTATTAATAACGTTAATGGTTTTAGTGGGTTATAATTGGCTATTTGCAGTTTATGGCTCATTTTTGCATTTCTAAACTAGATATTACAATAAGTTTTAGCATATCACTATAAGTTCTATAATTATTCCTATAGATAGTATGATTGCTTGAATCCATCCCAATTTAATTTTGTTCACTTCATTAATATATTAATAACATTCTTAGATGTATAAAAATGAACTAAGGATAAAAATCAATACTGATATCTCAACCACCATCTAAACAATATGATTTTTCTTATTAAAAGCACGACGATAGTTTAATTTGAATATAATAGAAACTATATTTGTTAAAAGAAGTAACCCTAATTAAATTATTTGGGAATTTTAAACATAAACTAGGAATAATAAAAAGAAAAATTATCTACTACAATTTAATATATCATATCTTTATTAATTGTATATCGTTGATAATTTTTTTTCACTTGAAAAACAATGTATGAAAATTTTTAAATAAAGGATAAGTATGATGATAACTATAATAATTTGCAAAATATCAATGTAGTTTTGAGTTTAAATGTTTCGTGTATACAATAATGTTTTAAATATAATATCCCAGCCATTTAGAAGTAAAGCTTTTTACAATCCTTAAAAAGACATAAATTTTTCTAATTTAAGTAAATTCTAACAAAAATGATAAAAGGATTTACTAAACTTAAGAATTATGTTTTGATTTATATATTATGATAATGAAGACATGCAAATAAAGTATCTTGAGCAAAATATCCATTTGTACAAAATTTTCTTAATCCATTTTAAAAATAAAATAACCAATAAAAATATTAACAATTAAAGTATTTAACTTGAAAGATTGATGATCAAGCTTGAGTTTTATTTGTAAACATTAAATTTTCCATTAGTATATTCTTAATTTTAATAAATATCAAAATACTGTAAAAGTTAGGGAAATTAAATAAAGTCTAAGAGAGGTTGAACAGTTATAAGATCATTAACAGAAAAAAAAATCTCTAGATTTTCTGGAAATTCGAGATTAATGTATCTTAAGTATTGTTAGTATTAAAGAATTGCCAATATTTCAACAAATAAATCCCCACTTCCTAAAAGTAAACTAACAGCGGTAATCCCAGTCAAAATATAAATTATATTCTGATTAAGACTTTTTAATTTTTAAGAATAATCTTTCTGGGTTTCATCAAGAAATTTTGGGTATTTTAATGTTATCGATTTTTCACCATCCTATAAAACAGCATTTTCTATATTAGTAACCATCTGGTTTAGTTAAATTTTCAAGATTGGTCTAAATTCTAGTAATTAATTTACTTCTATTGAAATAATATATTCTCCAAAATTCACATCTGACCCAACATCCTATATTATAAATAGACTACCTTTCCAGTTCTTTTAGCTAATATTTTCCAATACATAATTTATTGTTTTTGATAATAGTTAAGTTGTGTTTATTTTTACTCCTTAATTAAATTAAATGCTTATATACTATTTATTTTAAGTTATATTGAGATAATTAATAATTAAATTAGGAGCTTTGACAAATGTGCATTAACTAGGGGAATCTTTTATTATTGTAATGCATATCCAATTTAACTCAATTAAACAATCTTTGCATCCATCCAGTGCTTCATAATTTCCATCATCACATTCCTCCTATTCTTATAAATATCCATCTCCACAATTTAATTGTTACTTACATTGATTTGAATTAAGTAATTAGTATTGATAATAACATTCTAGACAAATACCTTAATAGCAATCATAACAATATTGTGGACAAGAATACTTGCAAAGAAAACAACCATCCCAAGGTTGCAAATTACCATCATCACAATCTTCTTCTTTTGTGACAATTTGATCACCGCAAACAGAGAGGCAACTATTATTAACATACTCATATCCATCTTCGCATATTTAAATGCATTATCCTTTTTCACACGTTTTACAATCTTCAATACACTGAAATTTACATTCAAAACAACCATCATAAGGTTATAAATTACCATCATCACAATCTTCATATTATTTGAGAATCAATTTATCTCCACAATGAGGGAAACATATGCTTTCTAAAATATCAAATCCTACTTCACATTCTAAACAAATTGAAAAGTGATTAGTTTTACAATTTTCAATTGAGATAAATTTACAATCTAAACAACCATCCTATACCCCATTAACTCCATTAACTGATATTTCACATTATTCGGTTGAATAAGGAATTAAATTACCATCCCCACATAAAGGATCACAAATAAAATTACCATTAATAATAAATCCATCCTAACATTGTAAACAAATTCCAAATTAACAGATTTTACAAAAGTCTATACATGAATATTTGCATAAATGGCAAGAATATTTAGATATTAAATTACCATAATCGCATTATTCTTAGCCATGTATAATACCATCCCCACAAATTGGATGGCAATTTTCTTGAAATTCATCTAAAATCCAACCTTCCTGGCAATTCAAACATTTATCTTAAAATTACTCTAAACAACCTTCATTTAAATTATTAAACATTAGCTCTGGTTGAGTATAATACAATTCAAAATCTCTGATAAAACCAAAATCTGAATTGGATTAGGTTTTAATATTCAATTATAATATTGGATTATGATGATTTCTTAATAATATTTCTATTTAATTTTCAAAACTTATTGTTTATTAACTTTCCAAATAGTCTATAATTATAGGATTAGTAAATAATTTAAAGAATCTTATTAATACATCTTCATGAGGAGGTAATTTAGTAAAAAAATTAATTTCCTAAAATATTATAAATTAACAGTCTCCACAATTGAAAAGGTTAATATTTTAATTTAATACTGAAATAAGAGTCCATCCGTCATAATTTGTGATTGATTTCTAATTAAATGAATATTGATGTAGTTTCCATGATTAACAAAATTTATGATAATTATCTATGCATCCAACACATAAATCCGAACATTTAAGGATACTTAATCGGAATGATATTAATCCTCCATAATAGGTTTGAATATATATCCAAACAGATCTTCTATTATGTAACCTAACTATAGATATAGTTTATAAATATTCGGGATTCTCGTCACCACAGATTTAAAATAACATTTTTGACTCATATTATGTTAATTCTTCATCTATCATAAAATTAGATATGTAAGTGTCATCAATACTTTTTTTATTATAAATAAATAATTACTTAAGAAATTCAGCTTCCACTTTAATATGAGAATGAGGTTCTAAATTTAAAAATATTCTGCTAATTTTAATCTCATCATTAAAAGATGTCCCAAAAAAATGAATCTGTCCACAAGTTTCGAAACTACAAACGTGAGTTTCATCTTCCCATCCTAAAATATAAATTTAACGTTAAAATAAATACCATCTATGATGTTAGAATATGCATCATACTAATAAATCAGAGTTGGATGTGTTGTACAGACTAAAAAGATGAGCAGTATCATTACTAATTAATATAAATAATATATTCCCACTATTAATAAATCTCCATTAATTGGATAAAAATTCTGTTCAATTGCGTTTAGAATCCATCCTGTATTAAATGAAAACAAAATTCATTGTATTGTCGAAACTTCAGTAAAAATAAAATTGTTGAAAACGGAAATATTAAAATTATAACAAGAGAGCAGATCATAAGTTTATTCCTAAACTAATTTTCAAACAATATTTATTTATGAGGTGTAGCAAGTAGAGTAAGAATCTAAAAATTGGTAGTGGCATTAAAAACAAATGAATTAATGTAATTAATGTAATAAATCATCGTTGCTATATTAATTCTTTTCATCGCATTATTCGAATTAAATAGCAATTATACCATCTCCACAAATAGGTTTACAAAAGTTATCCTCAAGACACCAACTAACTGACACATCATAATTTATGCATTTGTTAAATTAGCAATCAACAAAATTATTATGACATGAAAATTTACAATTATAACATCCATCATATCGAATTAAGTTACCATCTTCACATTCCTCTGTTTTTACTACAATATTATCATAGAAACACATTTATTATCTACAATATAGAATCCTTATAGACAATCGACAAATTCCAGCAAAGCATATTATCTCAACAAAACTTCACTTATTTTTATTATACAAGTCTTTTCTTTTATTACAAACTATTCGCAAATAATTTTATTTAAAATTTAAAGATTATATGCAACTGAATTAAAGATAATCATAACAAAAATATTTTTCCTAATTTTAACATTCTGATTTACTGATTATTTGGGTTTTTCTATTCTTTATCAGAAAGATACAACTAATCTATACTATATTATTCATACCTTCTTCCTTAAAGGAAATGACTTATTTAATTCATTCCTATATTAGTATCACTTATAGAAACTTATAACAAATTTATACATAAAGATTAAATCAATGTATGGAATAAAAAGCTTATTTTACTTCCTGATACTCAATTCCTTATATTTAATTTTATATAAGGCTTATTTTAATTATGATGAACAAGATTTTTATGAAAATTTTCTGTCTTAACATAATGCTATTAGTCCTTAAATTACATTCAAATTAGTAAGCAATAAATGAAAAATTGATTTCAGAATATTCATTTTTATCAATTCAAGTAACTTAATGTTGCTCTTAATTAATTTCATGAATGAAGTATTTTTATAAAACATATCATTATTAAATAATCTACAATTTTATATATGATAAATAGTAGACTTGACTTCTGGGATTGTCTTCAAATCTAATAATGATTATTTATGATTCAAATTATGATGTTGTTTGCTTTCTTAAAATTTTACTATTGGTACTTATATATA